TCTTTTTTTTTTTTTCTCTTTAGCCTAATGGAGAAATTGAAATTTTCAATATATTTTATGATCTCTCCTTGGTAAATACTCTGATTCTGTCCATATAATTTCAGATGTTATGAATTTCTATTTTGTTTTATTTTTTTGAATGTATGCACCCTTGTTCTGTGTATGCCCTCATTTGCCTTCAAAGATGTTTGAAATTTAATGGTATTGTTTATATTAGATCTTAAAAATAGTTAGAATTAACAAAAGTGTATTTTATTATCCATCAAGATAGAAAATAAAAGGGCTTCAGTTAAAAGTAGCAGGTAGTGACAGTGGAAGAACAGCTGCTTACTGTTTACTTTAATTAACAAAGTTGGAACAGCCAGTGGATAATTTAAGAATAATTAGTTTTGAAATTAGTTGAATCACTATTTTGATTACCAATAATTGAATACAGAGATCCCAAAAGGGAAACTGGGAATTATGTTTTCATTCAATATTTTTTATTTTAGCTCCTAAATTAGAAAAACTATGGAATTGCACACAAAATATTACTGGTGATTGTGTTGTCTGGTAATGTTATTTTCTAAATATCAAAGTTTAAACAACTGCTCTTAAAATCTTGTTTCTAATTCTTCTAATTTTATTTTTTCATTAAAAATATGATTAATGTGAGTGAATTTGTAAAAAAGTAGCTATATAATAACAACTCTTTTTTAAAAATAATCGCATTTTTTCAGGAAAATATGACCTGGTTATAACCCATCCTATCCTACAAAGGCACGGGTACAGTGTACACCAAAGGGTGAAAGCCAAGGCCAAATTAAGGACTGGAAAATTTCAGATTTCTTATATATTATCTATTTTACTTTGAGTAATGTAAGTTTCTATAAATAAGATAATTGAGCTGTAAATTTTTTTCTTTGAGCTTTTCTGTGCTGTGGACCGCTTTCTCTCACTATTTGCAGAATTACATGGGAGGGGAGAGCCATAGGGGATTTGAGGGAAGAACAAGGTCTTTCAAGTACCTCAAGACATCTCAAAGATGTCTTCAACATCTGGGAGCCTTTGTGATGTCCATATGTTTTGGAGGCAAAGTACTTTTCAGATGAGATAGGGCAAATCTAAAGTCTGAGACAGAATGCGTCCTGGGGGGCTGAGCATCTAAATTATTCAGCCAGGTGTATGATTTGCCTCAGAGGCCTGGCTGGGTCCAAAATTACACAGAAAGTAGCTTGAGTTCACAATGCTGTCTTGTTTATGCAGTTAGCATCAAGAGTCTCACAGATGCAAAACAGTATCCTTGTTAAAGTATTTTAGATGCTTTTCTTCTTAAATGTAATTGAAGAAGGAAACAGTGAAAGATAGGAATAACAGTATCATAAAACATTAAGTTTTACAGTTTCATTCCCTTTTAGCAGGGAAACTCAAGCCTGGCAGGTCAGCTTCATGTTTTCTGACTTTAATCAAATTCCATTAGAGTCACTAAAGCTCTTGGATAATAGCCAGGTTATCAAGGAAGACAATTGGCCTGACTTACCTTTTTTTGTTTTTTAATGGTGGAAAACATCCTTAGGCTGAAGCTGTGTTTCTTGTTAAAAGAAGGCTTTCTGACCATGACCTGATTTTATTTCTAATTATATATGTATATAATCATATTGCCTTTATAAATTGTCCAATTTTGTGTTAACAGAAAGTAATTTACAGATGTATTAACTTTGAAGGTGCTATTCCCGATATTCTATAAATGAGGTATCAGAACGTACATATGGACTGTATTTCTTTTTGCAGAAATTGCCTGAAGGGCTTGGTAAATGAGAGGAAGAGAGATAGGGGATCGTTCTTCCAGATTTGAAAAGCTGTGTTTTAAATTTTTTTTAAAGTACATGTGAAATGTTATTTAATTGGTGTTACTGCTATGTGCTTTCTTGTCTCTTTGAATGTTATTTTTTCTGTCTTTATCCTACCTGTTGGAAGTCATATGTAGCACAGCAGAAGGTTGAGCTTTTTGTCATAATTCTCTCATGTTCATAACCAGTTTTTATTCTTTGTTGATTAAATCATAGAGAATGGAGTAAAAATTCTTCATTTCAAGTTGGAAGCTTTGTCCCAGGTTTAAATGTCTAGGGTGTCGTTCTTCAAATGTATGAAGACTAGTAACTAAAAATGGGAAGAACAGCACTTTATAAACTATTATACATATGTGACAGCTGCCATAAATGTGAGTTACTACTTCTGTATTGCAGATGTTTTCTTTGTTTTGGAAATAACCAGTGTGTTTTCTATTCTGTGCAAGTTGATTTATTGAATTTAGTTTTATACTTAACTTCTCTTGTGGGAATCATAGATATTCAGTGTTGCTGAAAATGTTGCGTTGATTGACTTAAATTGTGATACCTAAGATTAGTGATAGTGTTCGTAGAATCCTTAAGGTTGGAAAAGACCTCCAAGATCATTAAGTCCAGCCTTTGAACACCACCATGTCAGATAGACCACAACACTAAGTGCCACGTCCAGTTGATTCCTGAACACTTCTAGGGATGGTAACTCCACCACTTCCCTGGGCAACCCATTACAGTGCCTGACAACCATGTCCAACCTGAACCTCCCCTGGTGCAGCTTGAGGCTATTTCCTCTTATCTTGTTGCTAGTTGTGTGGGAGAAAAGGCTGACACTTGCCTGGCTACAACCTCCTTTCTGGTAATTATAGACAGTGATAAGGTTTCTGCTGATCCTCCTTTTCTCCAGGGTAAATTACCCCAGCTCCCTCAGCAGTTCCTTGTAGGACATACTCTCTAGACCCTTCATTATCTTTGTTGTCTTTCTCTGCTCTCTCTCCAGCACCTTAATGTATTTCTTGTAATGAGTGGCCCAGAACTGGACACAGCACTCAAGGTGTGACCTCACCAGTGCCGAGTACAGGAGGACAATCATTGTTCTTGTCCTGTTGATCACACTATTTTTGATACATGCCAGGATGTCATTGCCCTTCTTGGCCACCTGGGCACACTGCTGGCTCATGTTCAGCTGGTTGTTGACCAAGACCCCCAGGTCTTTTTCTGCTGTTAAGTTTTTTCTATATTTGAATGTTGTAGGGAAATTATTAAGTATCTTGAGTGTAAACAAACTCAAGATTTCCTTGGTTGTGGAGTATTAACTTACTGGTTGTTGGATTCATCTTTGTGAATTGCTTTGCTGTTCTACTCTGCTCTTCTTACTAGAAGATCTGTCTTTTTGTTACAATAAGAGTATATAATATAAGAGAATAATCCGTAGATTGAGCAAGTAGTTCACATTTGTTAGCCCAGTATACTTTGTCATTCTTGTCTTCTCTCCTGTCTCACTGGCTCTTTCTTTATATATGCTTTTAGCATGTTCCCTTTATTTACTCCATAATTTGACTCCAGTCACCCTGTTGTTCTATCTACAGTTCTATGGTTACCCCAGCTAAACAGTCCCTATTTTCTATTGTCAAGGAATAAAAGTAACCTTTCTGATCCTTCTCTTTCTCCATCCTGAGTTTTGTTATCTTCACCTTTAATGACTTGAGAGTTCAAGTTTACATACATACTTCCACCCTCATAAATAGGAAAAAACATCAATTCGCATTAAAAACCCATGTAGGGATTTAGTTTTGTTTATTTTCATTAATCTACATAAGCTATCATTTAAGAAATTCCTCTTTTGTGGAAAATATCTGATGCCTAAAATTCTGTAATTTAACTTTCTATTCTATCTTTCACAGTCCAAACACTCCTTGAAGTAAAATCCATCTTCTAAAGTTATTAACCATCTTCATAGTACACTTAGTTATCCTTTTTCTTCCAGCAGTATGCTTCCTCTGTCTGTATCTGCCCTTTTGCATCTCTTAGTTAGATTATATTTTCAGAAGGTCTAAAGTTAAAGTTAATGGACCTTTAAAAACCTTACCTTTCAGGTAATAAAAAAATTATTAAACTGTCATAGTTGCTGAGCTATCATTGCCAACAAGGAAGCACAGACATGCATAGGTTAGAATGAATGCATTAAACAGGAGTGAATTATAAAAATAAATAAGAGAAAACAATCCTACCATCCTGGAATGCAGTTTAAACATTTCATTAGCTAGAAAATTCTAAGTTTCTTTGCCAATTGTAAAAAAAAAAAGACTATTACGTGCAATTCATAGCTTGGGTAGGCTAGACCCCAGGTTGCCTGAACACATCAGTGCCTTCTGTCATGTTCTGCTGCCTTATTATGTAAGGTCTATCATGCATGGTCTTGCTACTAAAGTCATGATCAAGCTTCAGTAATACCACTATTATTCCTCTAAGTATCAAAATTTATTTCTGGGTCCCAAATGTTCTGTTTGAACTCCATGCAATATTTTTTTTGTAGTTAATTTCAGTATTTGTATCTCAGAACAGGAGTGTTGTTAACTAAATCAATTTTTGGTTGACAGCTTCAGAAAACAAAATGCTTTCAGGAAGAAAAGATTCAGGACTGGAGTATTTAAATAATTAATACTAAAGAAATCTCAATTTTTCAATGAAATAAGACATGATGAATTCTGATAGATGTTCAACCTTTGTTATTGGATAATATCACTGACTGGAAATGTGTTTGTCTTGCTCCTGTGGCTGTTATGGATGCTGGGGTTAGCAAATTTATTACATTCAACCCTTCATTAAGGCAAAGTGGAAAAGTAATTTGGGCCTGTGATATGAAAGTAGAAGCTACTACATGAGGACCCAAGGAAAACCTGAGAAGAAACACTTCCAGAAAGGTGCCAATTGATGGAAGTTGTGTTAACCTTTGCCAGCAACACAAACCAAGAACATGGAAACAGTTATGAAAAATTGCAGGATTCAGAAAGGTGAAAAACCACATTGGCTTAGTATTCATAGAGATGGTGTCTTCTTTGTTTATTGATGACTCTAGAATCAATTGAATACCTATAATAAATTTTAAATTAATTTCTAAAATTATGCCCCAAAATCACAATCCAATCAATCTCTGTACAGTCACTATCTGAAAAATACATGTGCCTTAATTCTAACTTGAAGTTCTAGCTTAATTTGAATGTTTTGTTCATGTCTGGAGTTCTCCAGTTCAAAATAGGTGCAAAACAATATCCTCATTGATATCTTTTTAATCTCTTGCATGAATGCCATTAATAAAATTTATGTGAATCATAGAAATGTCCAGTCTATAATTCAATTTTTTACAGATTCAATTCCTTTTTAGCAGAGGTGGAGATAGTATCAAACCTGACTGATTTGTTCAAATTCCAACCGGTCACAATCATCCCATTTTCAAGGAGTTGAAAGTGTTGTTGATGTTGCCTAAGCACTCTCATCATCTAATAATTTTGTAGTTCTGTAAATGCTTGGCCAAATTCACAGAACATTTTCTAGGAAAGGATACATTTTTCTACACAGTCTGACATGTCACTACCATATAGCTGCCATTTATATCACTTTTGTTTTTAAGAAAGTTTGTACATTTTTGTTTCCAATTCCATTAATGATTTTGCCAGCAAGACAGTTGTTGTTCTGCTAGGAAGGTATGATTCAGTATTGATGTTTATTTATGTAGCATATTCTTTTTTTCACTGGATGATGAAGGGAATGCTTAAGCATTGCATATGTTTAAATATAAAAGCCACTAAGCTGCTGAATAGTACTTTGGGTTTGAAAATTAGAGTTCAGCCTGCACTATCATGGGAAAAATGTATCTGCTATATTACAACAGCCACCTTTAAGGCTTTCATTGTGAAAAAAATATATCAGTGTCATCTCCATGTTAGTGAAATTATTAATAAATTATAAGGATATTGATATCACTTCTTACATGAATATGTGAAGCTTTGAGTATTAACAGTGTTGAGGTAGCATTTCCCATTCTTGAACTAGGAACTCACTGCACTAGCTGAATGATGAAATGAAAAGGCGTTTTGAGAAAGCACTTCCAGTTCTCTCCAGTAAAACAAAGTGGGCCCTTGTTGTCTCAGACTGGGTGTTCCTGAGCATGCAGTCTTCTATGAATGACCACTGAAGTGCCAGAAAAATAAACCCGAAAATAAATCCAAAATCCAAATATGAATGGACTCAATTCAATCTGTTCCCCATGTTTAGTGTTTTCTATGTGCATGTACTTTACCCTAAGCATAACTTGTAGGAAACAGTAAGTGTAAAAACTTTTGTGGAATTTAGGCTATGTGAATTTGATCAGTGCTGTCTACCTTGGTGTTGTGTGTTCTTGCTATAGCAGGAGTCTTAACAAAACAAAAAAAAAAAGGTACCATAAGACTGTCCATTACAACCCTTATCTTCCTCTGTGGACCTTGGACTTGTTTAAGCTTCTCCATGTATTTCAAGATGATGAAGGCACCCCTAGAGAGCTTAACATTCAAAGACTACTGCAAGTATGTGACTTACTGTTTTAAATGTAACTCCCATAAATTCCTGTTATAGTGTATAGGATTTTCAATTATGAGGAGATAAGTTTCCAGACTCCGCCCCGTGCTCAGTTGACTAGCTATGTTAACGTCTTGATGTCTGCAATAGAATTCAAAATACCAACCTACAAGATTCAAAATTTAAATGCCATTTGAAACTGGGGATTACTCAGAATGATAAAATTTCCTTATTAGAAATGACATCAATAATTAGGGTAATAATCTGTGTCTAAAAACACTTACAGAAAAGAGTTTACTTCATTATATCACAAGTTGTATTTAACAAATGTTAGCTGATAATTTTCGCTGCCCGTATGGAGCAACTGATACTTTAGTAGCTTTTTTTGTTAGTGCACTATGACATAAAGAGTTTGGTTGTTCTGAACATCTCCATGCAGGTGATGGGACTGTTTATTAATAAAAGACAGTCACTCATTTGAATGGCTTGTCTCAACATAGAACAGAGGCACAATCTGGGGACATAAAATGACATTGGTAAGAACCATCATATTTTTTCTATTAAGTGGCTGAGGTGCAATAGATGGAACATTTTATTCCGGCCTTCCATTCCTTGACATTCTTCTTAAGTAGTTTTAAAGATTCTCATGTATTTCAAGGGAAGTTACACTGAATAGAGGATGACATTTTCCCAGGGTGAAATGGGAATAAGCTTTATTCACATGGATAGTCTAAACACGCAAGTAAAATTCCTTATTTCTACCACAGCTCTTCAGCCTAGAGCTAAGCTGGGCTCAACTTGGAAACTCTGTTCTAAGGTGTGTAAAGGAGCAAGTAACGAGCAAGCCTTTACTTTTTGTTTGACTTGTATAGATAGATGCTGGCTACCACTTGTAGGTACCTTGATATAGACACATTCAAAAAAGTACCCTAAAAGGGTAATTCAGGGGCTTAAGCACCTTAATTAATAATTTGGACATTTCATCCAATGCATAATAGTCAGTGAAGACAAGTGTCTGCATTTACACCACATCTGAAGTAGGCATTCTAAATTTCGTCCTAATGTAAATGGTATTATAAAATGATAATGACATTTTTGAAGTAGCTGTTGTATTTTTGCTATATATTGCCCCATGTAACAATATTACATACCTGCAACTTTCTTAGTTGTGAGATACTACATTGTAAAGATCATTTTGACTAATGCAGGTGACCAGTGCTAGATCACAAATTCCAAAATCTTTTAATGTGCTCTGTATTGCTATGTCACTTGTATAACTCCTCTTTAATTATTCGGTTTATAGGACTTCAGAAAAAAAAACTCTAAACATTGATATCAGATTATAATCAATTAAAAAACATTGAAATGAAAACTGGAGGGGAAGAAAGAAAATAGAGCAGAGAGGAAGACAATATACTAGACTACTTACAGAAAGAACAAAAAGACCTGATCTATCTCCCCCTGTACTCCCTTTCCTGAATAATTAAAGCAGTAAAGTATAAGAGTCGAAATGTTATATCGACTATCTGAATTAAAGTGTCTAAAAAGAAAATCTTGGTACAATCAAAATAAGCAAACTATTAGGCTGAGAAGGATGTTTCGAAGTCACTGTGTTTATTAATCTAAAGTACTGCTGAATGTTAGCTCTCTGTTTTGTATCAATTAAATTTATTTAATTTGGCATCATTTTCCAAGGACCAGGTATCAGACATAACTTAAACTCATAAATTTATCATTTATTATAATTTTAAAAGCTAGATTTCAAAGTTCTGACATCATTTGGGAACTTGGTGATTTTAACTGGTATTATTTTGCTTCACTCCATTGACCTTTCAAAACTTTTCTTAGTTCAATGTAAAATATGTTTAAAATAATGTATAGATACACTGCAGAAGGGCTTCTTATTTCCTAATAGTAACACAGCAGTAACATTTTAAAAATTGTCTTCCTCTGTAATAGGTTACGTCGTGTGTTAAATTAGGTGTGAAAAAAATGTTGCAGAATATATAATTAGAATATAATAATTTCAGTTCACGCCTGTCTAAAACTTTGCTTTTAGTGTTTGCTTTTAGTGATGTGTGTGGATATACCTAGTCTAATAATCTACTTTTTCATCATAATTGAATCTCCTGCAGCCTAAACTACAGTACATTTTATATTAACCTTTCCTAAGCTAGAAGGTAATATGGACATGCATGATGAAACCTATTTCTACTGCTTTAAACGAAGCCTATTTCTACTGCTTTTGCTGAACACTGAAAATAACTACTACTTTGCCTTGATATTAAAATTGAAAAGTGCATGTGGAACACAGGATAAGGACCTTCTCAGGTAGAAGGATGCAGACGGGTTTTGAATGACATGAGAACACTTCTGTGTTAAAGAGCAAATAGGCAAAACATTTTGAAGTGATGCAGTTCAGAGAATTCTGAAATACCAAATATCAGACAAAACAATAAAGGACTGAGTGTCACTGTAAAGTGCTGTAGCAAAGCGTATGAGGCAACATTTCATAACTGCAATTAAAACTGGAAGTGTATATCTCTTCTATTAAGTCAGTAGTAATGGTTTGGGACTGTGTACGATTTGTCACCATTGATTCCAATTAAACTCAGAGATTCTCATTGTAAAGAGTGGTGTATAATCAATGAGCAATTAAGAGAAGAAGACCTAGAAAGTAACTTATTGTAGTAAATCTGGTATTGGAATGGCCCAGGCACATTGCCATTAAACCACTTACAGCACTGATAACATGCTGCAGGCGACATCATTTGTTGCTCTTTTAGCCTAGACTGTAGTGCAAATAGCTTTAGGTTTAACTTAAATTCCTGGAACAAGAAGCAACATCTGCCTGTAAACCCTGGTCTGGATCTTACATGTTTGTTCCCTATAACTGCTGCTAATAATCTTAGTAGCTTAGAAAAGACAAATCAGGTCCTTAAGGATCCCATAAGTTTAAAGTTATTAAAGGCAGAAGATGTCAATACAGGGAGTGCCAGAGGTGAATTTAAGGACAACAGTAGCAGAAAGTTCAAATATATTAATTTGCCCTTAGGTGCTGTAATTAGTTTTTATTCCAGGACTGAGAAAAGGAAATACAGGTCAAATGAACTTCTGTCAAGAATTGCACATGCAAACATGATTTACATAATAATTGTAAATATTGTCAAACACAACATCTCTTTGAAAGGTGTCTTATCACATTGAAGAGTCTTTGTCATGCTGCCTGTATGCAGTCTTGTTCACTTAATATATTCCTTTTCTTTCTTTTTTTTTTTTTTTTCAATTGCTTCACTAACAGCTAATTAATCTTGTTCCTGATTTTATTTGTTGCTGGAATTTGTATCTACCAGGTCAGGAGCTGTTTCATCTTGAATGTGTAAATGTTTCCCCAGGCAAAATACACACGTGTGGAAAATATAAATATATGTATTTATCAATATAGATTAGATTTATTGTCTTGTCACTATAAATATCCAAGTTAATTTAGGAAGTCATTCTGCAAAGTGTTGTTGCGTGACTAGTGACTAATTAATGACCGGAAAACCACAGTGCTGTGCTTATGCCTGGACACTTGTATCTTTTCTGTTTTCTGAGTTGTATATTGTTTTTCATGTTGCAACACTATTTAGCCTTTAAATTAGATTGCTGTGTATAACATACCTGCCCTAATTGTTACACTCAAAATCTTGCTATGGAGAAAAATGAGGACATACCTCACATATGACACAAGAAATTTATTCTTCATTTCCTTAAAATCCTAAGATTTTAATAAAGCAAAACAAAGTTAGGATTAGTTCAGTTGAAATTATACTAACAGCTAGAGTCCAAGTTAATATCAAATAGATCTCATTGGTAATATGGTTAAAATTGTTATACCAAACCTTCCAAATAAGCTGCTTTTTTTTTTTTTTTTCAGGTGTTATGGCCATTTTTTTGTTGCATCTCTGATCTTAAAGGAGTCAGAATGGGGTTGCAGTGTGTTGTGAGGATAGTGAATACCTGACAGGGAGAAGGTTGAAGCTGATGATGAAATTTTTCCTTCTTTCTGAGGGAGTATATATATTTTTCCTTTTCATTCTAATGTCTACTTGGGCCATTTTAGCGTTTTCTAATATGATTTGCATCTTGCTTTTTTTTCACTGGCGTGAAACTCCACGTTATACTGCAATTTACAACACATAGTATGTTTTAGGCAGGTGAGATACTTATTCTTTGTTTTTGGATTTTGCTTGTTATCCTATAGCAGTTTTTGCCCACCTCTGAAGTCTAAATTTCATTGACAGATGACCCATGAGCTGTTTAGAGTCTTAGGGTCTTAACACTTTGTCATTGTTTTTCAGATCATCTTTTTACACATAACAGAAGATATTACTTTTTCTTAATATTCTCAGACCATTAAGCTACAATGGCAATAAAAATTTTGTCTTATGGAAAATTCTGATTATAAGTACCAGTGGAGTTTATACACTATTTGGGAAATATACTTTTTTGTCATACATTGTAAACAGGATTTTTTTAATTGGTAGATTCCTTATTGGACTGATGATAAAATTAGTACTGAAAACCCAGAAAGATTTTACTTCCACGATCACATTACAAAAAAAATCTCTGGAAATTTGAAAAAAAAAGATACTTAGATTTTTTAAATATCCTACCACTGAAAATACTCATGTGTGTTTAGATAGAAGTCTGAAAATGACATTACATACAGAAAATTGACTTGAAATAGGTCATGGGCAAATCAAGTCCTCCCTACTTCAGATACATTGCTATTTGGTTTGGTATTTTCTCTGGCAGAGTAATTGTGTTTGCATACCCTTAAACAGGGTCATAGTGCTGGAGGAAAAAAGTATGTGTGGTTTCTCTGTAAGGTATTCTTTAACCAGAAAATGAGAATTATATGTGTTGACAGATTTATGTGGATTCTGCCTTGTAGCATATGGCAGTGCCGATAAGAACTTGTAATAATCTGTCTAAAGAACTCATATCTTTGCAATGTGCAGTGCTAAATGCCTGACATCCCATGCTCATTTTGATCTTCGTAGGAAAAAAAATGAAATACAACATTGGAGCTTGAATGATGGAATTCATGACACTCAGTGGCTTTTCCTGAACAAGACTGATGGGGGTGAAAAAAACCCTGCCACAACAAATTGCTTCAGTTACTTTTTCCAGTGTCTTCTGTTGTGACAAAATAAAATGTCTTGATTAAAGTAGAGAGAATTTATTTATGCATCAAGTAAAATTATTGATTATAATCTTTTTTAGATATCTTTGGCTTAGGGACTACAATTTTCCTGGTGTCTCTGGTGCTCTCAGAATATAATTACACTAATAGTACAGCTTTGTCTTGCAGAGCAATTTGTGTGCATATAACAGCGTAGCTTACCTGTTCCTCCTCTAAGAGGGCATTCAGAAGCAACTCTAAAATGTAGGCCAAGAAATTTCAGGCTTAATTCAGAAATGTGTGGCACTCATCAACAGTGCTAAACTTCAAACAATAATCTCTTATACTGTGCTACTGCACAATCATGCCAAATGGTGTAGGTAAGGGACTGTCAGAAGTTTTCGTTTAAATGTTGATTTTTTGAAGTTGTGACTTATCCACTGGAGGGGACAGAGTGGAACAAATTGTGCAGGTTGAATGATCTGCTGCTTTGGAATCTCTGGACCTCTTAGAAAGATATGACTGTTTAGAAGCTGTGGAAACAATTCATGCGGCTTGGATGGCTTTTGTCTGGAAGCATGAGCAGGAGGAGGACTGAGTGGGAGTTATGGGTCAAGTGGATGTCAGCAGTTTTGTCCTTGATGATGCAAAATATTTGCCCTTACCCGAGAAACCTTCAGAACCTGTATAAACAGACTCATCTGTTTTTGTGAATGTACCAAATTTTTGTAATTTCTTGGATTGTCTGCCAGGTTCAGATCTTGTAATGAAAGGTTCTATGTTTTGGGGTTGAGTGAAGGCAAGCAGGGTTGTCATAGGTGTTTACACTTCAGAAAATGCACTCATTCTCTATGACATAGGAGAAAGTTTTGGATACCCCTATGAGCTAGGGAATACACTCCAAAGAACTCAAGGAATAATCGTGATTATTTTTTTAACATTAAAAAGGGTGGAGTATATGAGAAAGGAAAATTTTAGTAGTATCTGAAGGCAATAATTTGGATAACATATGATTTATCAGTTTATTGTTTTCAGTGTAGAAATCTCTCAGTTTCAGGAAACCATTTCATTTATATCTACATTGATTTTTAGTCTGGACATGAATATACTAGTTAATATTGAAGCTGTCAGGATGTCTTCTGTAAGAATGTATTTTTAGTTTAATATAATAAAGGAGGCAATGATGTTTTAAGGGTTCATTTTGGCTTGTTTAATAGTAGTAAATAAGGAGAAACACATTTATACCTTGTGTTTTATATACACAGTCATACTATTACCACTTTAGATTACTTGTCTATATCCTCTACATTTAGTTTATGTGACACAATTATTTAGGAATTATATTAATCATTATATCTTTTAATATTTTTAGAGGTAGCAAAACCATACATGCTATGGAAAACCAAATAAATTCTGTATATTTGTTACAAGGTACTGATATGCCAAGGACTACACAAAAAGATAGCCAAACTGCAGGAAATAGAGCTTTTTAAGATGATAATCAAAAAATAACATCTTCAATAGAGACAAATTCAAATATTCCTTGACATAATCATTCATAAACTGAATACGGAGCTTTGAAACTCTGTACAGAGTGCCCTTCTCAGCCAGTTACACCTTGCAGTGATTACTTTAGTCAGCTTCGTCTCACTAATGTGTTACTTAAAACAGGGTCACCAACAGGACATATTATTTTACAGTTGGTATATTCAGCACACCAAATGCAGAGGTAACACAAATTTGTATAAAGTGCACACATCACTGTCATTAGTTGCATTTTCATTTTAAGCTAGGTAGCCTGAAACCACCCGTAAGCCCAAGCAGCTCTTTTCTGTTGGTACTTCACTAAGGCCCATACTCAGATGCAGACAGGCAAGTTAATGTGCAGGTTTGAGACAATTTTCTTGCATTGGCTACATCTGCCATCATGTATGCCACAACAGATCAGTCAGCTGAGTCCTTCCTGTGCAATTCTCGGCATTATGTGTTGGAAGGTCAGACTGATACTGCAGTGGGTTCACCAAGGGGGACAAAGTTGTGGCTTTCTCTCTGTGACAGTGTGGACAATCTGAGCCTGGGTAGGCAGTCAGGTCAGGGACCGTGACACAGGTTGCTCAGTTCACAGGCTTCACTGCTTCAAAGGACAGCTGTAGAGAAAGCATCTGCCTTGGAGTGCCACAGCAATACTCACTTTTCAAGTGGAGGGAGCACCTTTCACATTTACTCGATACCAAAAATCTATGACAGATTTCATCATCTTTAGGCCTATGTGTTTCTAATTCTTCTTCTTATGTATACGGATATTTTTGTTTCGTGGAATGTTTCAGGCAATAAGGAGTGCCAATGCTCAGTGGGTCTTTCTAGCTATGACAGAAGGGCAGAAGCAGTGACAAATAGAGCCAGCACAGAGAAACAGAATTCTTAATTCAGCTTCCTTTTTTCTGACAGAGAAATTTGTTGTCCCACAATCCTAGAGAACAGCAAGGGCCTGTGTCAATTCCAGTTGTGGGAAATATACTCTTGCAATAGAGCAGGTGTCTTTCTGAGGACATTGATCCAAGAAGAAGGAAATGGAAAGTAAGGAGATATAGGCTGTGAAGTGAATTATCAGGAGCTTGTTTTAAAGGAGGTCTGATATAGGAGAAAGCAGATAGCTTATGTGTCTAAATACAGGGACTGTAATATCCTTGAATATGCCTAGTACTTCGTGGGAATTCAGCAAGTGAGGAATTGTGGTAGCATTCAATTATTAACTATCCTTGTATCATTTAATCTTTACTGTTACCTCTATGGTATACGTGATGATGGAGAGTACTGGGCTGAAATTCATGGGGAAAAAGCCCCAAAGAATAAAACCTTTCCCACTTAAAGATATATCTTTTGTTTTGCACAAGAATAAATTGAGTAGGCTGTTACTGGAGTTTTAATAAGACCACAAACTTTCTTCTCTATGTAAAATGAAGCAGTTGATTTAGTTTATAATGATACCAACAAGAAAAGCTACTCTAAAATATATGTGATTGTGCAGCATGAATTTAGTGTTGGGAAAATACACAGAATCTGATGCAGTTAGACAAAAGAGACAGGACAATAATTAAAAGACAGTACAATAATTTATTTAAAACTCAAGGGTCTACTTTCCAGCATAAAGAAATACATTCTGCAAAAGACCATCCTGAAAGGTAACTGAAGTTACCAACTAATACAAGCTTCAGCCAAGGCAAAATATTCATGCCTCTTCCAATCTCCTTGCCAGCAGGAATATGCTTTGTGCCAGAGATAGTTAATTTTGCACTAGAAATCCATGTGGGACTGCCAGCTGGAAGCAGGGGGAATGAAAACTCTGCATGTATGTGCCTCAAACTGCTGGAAATATGATGCTAGGCATTTAGATGTCAAAAAAATTTCTACTTGTTTATTGTCAAATTAAATGCCCTCAGACTAAGAGCTCATTTATAATTGAAATTTGTTTTTAAAGCAAACTTCAGCAACCTCTCTGTCTGCTCTTGCCACCCATTTTAATGTCCTGAGAGAGACTGAAAGCATGTCGCAATACCAAAGAGATTTCAAACTTATGTGTTTTCAAGTAGCTATAGATTATGCTTAGATACTTCATCTCATGGGATGAATTTGAGATCAGAAAGTTTAGTAGTCCTCTACTATTTTTGTACACACACGCACACGCACACACACACAAAGTGGGAAAAAAAGGCTATTACATAATCATGGACTAATTCAGGTTGGAAAGGACCTCTGAAAGTGATTTGGTCCAAGCCTGGCTGAGAGCACAGGTCTATATTGTTGGTTGAAATTATTTAAGCGAAATGAGCTCAACACAACAGAAGGGCAGGAGATTTTTTTTTCCACCTCATGTAGCTGAGGTGGGTCTGAAGGTTTAAAGATCAGATACAGCTCTGATACGAACAGAGACATCTAGATTTGGATATTGAAATGGGTGATGCTTGTCTGAAATGTTAATGCAAGAAAATAAAATTTTTATTTCTTACCTACCGTCCCTGCAGAATTCATGTCTCTTTTTTTCCTGTACTTCTCTGATAGTGCACAGAACACAAACTCATAAAGGTTTGTGGTAAGTGGTTGTCTATTAGACTCTTGTTTCTACTTTACAGGTGGTCGACCACAGTGGAATCCAGAAGCTCTGAGAAAGTGCATTAGGTAATTCACCTAATTAGTTAGATCATCAGATAAGAAAGAGGCATATGATATAATTGATCATTCAGTGAAAGCTTATATTTATTAAATTGACTACCACTGTCCTTCATAGTAATTCCTCTGACCTTAGGGATTCTCTTGGTAGAATTGACCTGTCTTTCTAGCTTTTATTTTATGGTTTAATGGTCCATTTCAGCTGCTTAACTCATAGACATTCTTAGTGCATCATTCTAACATTCAGACTCAAGTGCTAGAATGCTCAGTAACTGCCAAGCCTGCTATAGAAATTACAACTATAACTCTATGAAATGAAGTATTAAAGCTGCTCAGGGTTTAAAGCTGCTCATGGTTTAAAGCTGCTTCCCGAACACCTTTGACTCTTTGGCTGCTTCCTGTAGCAAAGCATTGATTTTATGTGCACAGCAACATGGCACAAGCACAGCTTTTTGGGATGCAGATATCTCCACCAGCTTTGGGTGATACAAAGATATATAAAGGAGAAAAGTTGTACAAAATAAAAAGGAAAGGGTAAACTATCCAATTAGTTTCTAAAAAAAAAAAATAACTTTAGCTGTTAAATCTGTCACTTCAGGCTTTTCAAAACACCTTTATTTATAGTATTATACATGTTTTAGCAGCCTTATATGGTTGCCTAATTGAAACAAAAATAATTCTAGCTGATTTAACAGCTACTTAATTTTCTTTAAAGAAAACCAACCAAAAAAAATTTCAAATTTCTGCTATAACTTTTGAAATTTAATACTACAATAAATTAATTAATTTTTTCACTTCTTTTAAAGTTTTATGATGCTATAATGCAAAAGCAGCCTGCCTGGTCTAGCCTATCATATTAAGCTAGATGATTCCAGTTGCTAATGGGACCTTGGCAAACAAAGAATCCCTGGAAAATTCAGGCAAAGCAAATAAGATCCATGAGAGAGGTAGAAAATAATTCTATAAAGGTACGATTTATTAGTAATGGAGTTGGGGGAATGGGGAAAACAGACGGACTGTGATCAAAAAGAAGCAGTTGAAGAAACTGAAACTAGTAAAGAAACAGTTGAAATTAAGAAACATGGAGAGAAAGAGATTCAAATGATTTTTGAATACATATTTTTTCTCAGTGAGACTTTGCTGAAATTATGCCAGTGATGAAGTTTAATATTGTTACCAGGGCATTACAAAAATATTTGACTTTATTAGGATTATTAATTTTAAATTAAAGACTTCAAGTCTGTCATACAGACCTTGTGAAGGTCATTATAGTTTGAGTGATATCAAGGATTTTTCTGTATCAAAGATCCTGGAAACAATAGAAATCATGTCGAGGATAATTACAAATTTGTTTTCAGTGCACCTGGAGACAGCTCTATTGTGTGAAATGACCCGCAAAGAAAAGGAGCGGTGACTCAGTGAGGGCACCCTTAGGGATCAAAAAAAAAGGGAAAAAAAAAAATAGAAAAAAAAAAAGAAAATCAAATCCAAAACCCCACCTGAACAATTTTCAGTATATATTCCTAAAATCTTGTTTGCCCCTTGATTCTTACCCAGAGACTCTCAACTGTGCCATTACCAGCTGTGAGCTCCATACATTTTAATGCTTCTATTACATACAGTGCTCTTCCACCTCTTCTGG